GATTTTTCTAACGCGCAAGGGGGGGGTACGAGAAAATTGCAAGAATATAAAGAATGTATAAGTGAACTTTTGAAGGACCATGCTGTTATAGAAAATAATGCTAATTTATGCCTATGAAAAACTGCGGTTTCTTTTTTTTTTTAATAAAGAATTTGAGGCAATTTTCTACTTGATTAACAGTAGCATACTCCTCCTTCTATGAAAAACTGGGAATTGTTTTAGAAGACGCAATCATAGACAAAATCCTTTATTAGAGGCTTGTTCGACAACTTCTCTACTTATTTTATACTTAACATTGTCTTTTCTATTAGCTTTGTAAGTCAAATAATGAATAATCATAAACGTTTATGCCTTACTGTTTTAGGGTTCTACATTGAATTTTATAATATTTGAAAGAAATTCTAGGTAATATTCAAGAAGGAAATTCTAGGTAAAGGAATTTTATTGAAAAGATGGATGATCTCCCATTTGAAGTCTATCAAGATGTCGAATATGCATGATTTATATTTGGTACTAAGTCAACTTTAGGATATTGTACATTATTAAGTGGTAATCTCGTAACCTGGAAAAGTAAAAATAAAACGTGGTTGCATTTTCTAACACAAAAGCTAAATTTGGATAAATGGCGTTAGGAATATGCAAATTGATATGACTAATATTATCTTGAAAGATTTAAAGTTTGTATTGAAAGATTCTATGAAGCCCTTTGTGAGAACAATTTAGCCATCAATATTGTACATGTTCTCATGTAATATGACCAAAAAAGATATTGAGGCGAAGAATTATTTTACTTCAAAAAGTTAGAAAATGGTTTAATCCGTACTCTGCTTATTACGACAATTGGTCATTTGTGGGCATTTTCATCAAATGATTATTAAGAGCAATATTTTAAGAATTGAAATGTTAGCTTGGAATGAAAAATATTGATTTATTCGCTCGAGGGGGAGCGTGAAAAGTTCATCTCTGTCAATCTCATCTCCATCAATCCCGCCTCTATTAATTTTGCGTTCATCAATGTTCCGTTGAGTCCAACAATCCTCCACATTCTTTCTTCACTTCATGCAAACTTAGTGATTCATTAGATGATTATGGTCACTTCATGAATTTGTGGATTATTGTCATTATTCTATAGTTATTATTTCGCCTACTCATCAATTTGCGGACTATTGTAATTATTCTTTCATGTCCTTACAATTTTTAATAATTAGAAGCTCTTTTTGAATTGTGTAAATGCTACACAATTTTTGGAATGAAATACTCGACTATTTTTTTACAATTTTTTGTCAAGTGTTTATAAGCTCCTCCAATTTATATCAATAGATGGTTTTGTACTTAAGAGCTCACATTCAGGGTCCCAATGACAATAGAATGGACATAAATCTTAGGAGACGATGACTTTTGATAAGAAGCATTCGAATTTGAGAATGTTATTCTTGTTTGCTGGACTGAATTTTGTATTGATAATAATGGTTGAAGAAAGTTGGATAATTAATGATAATGGCTGAAGAATGCTGGAAGATCTCATGTCGTTGTAATTTGATTGGTTAAATGTGCTGTATTACTGTTTTTATAGTGGGGATGTTAGCTTGTAGGTTGTTGTATGGACACATGCTTTTTTTTTAAGAGAACATGATGGCTTAAGGGGAAATAAAAAAAAATGACATTTCAAGGTGATACATTGCATGAGCTTGAGGGTTGCCCCACTATCAAACAGGTTTAGTGTACTAGAAGTGAGAATGTTGAGGTGCATGGCAAATAATGAGAATGACAGAGGACAGTTATTTCTAGTCGTGAGAATGTCAAATTAGCGTCTAATATTAACAAGTGATAGAATTAATTGATACATTTTAACTTGTTTGAAAGGTATAGGAGTGTACAAAGGTTGGTCAACATTATAATTTGTTTAATTTTCTTAAAAAGACTTCCAAAGGTTCATTTAATTAATTCACGATGAATAAGTTCTATGGATCTAAACGTGAGAAAATACTTGGAGAAGGATGATGGATGGTGATGATCCGGCATTTGAGAAAATATTGCACAATTGTACCATTCAACATTGATGAAATTTGACTGTAAGAGTTAGGCCAATGTACATAAGCCTTACTTTATTAAAAGGTTTTATGTAAAATATTGTTGTCTCCAAATGCTGATCTTAATTTGAATGGATGCTGGATAAGAATCTATATATCCAAACCATGTGCGAATACTTGGAGAAGGAGGATGATGGTGATGATTTGATTAAAATTCCACTTGAAGGTCACAATTTTTTCAAACAGAGTAACCAGTTGAGTCTTTTTATTAAAACCATCTAGAATGTTCAAACGCTTCATTTTCCAAATATCAATAGGTTGCTTATTTTATGCTTCTTGCTGCAATCACATGTTCTACTGGCCATATGGATGCTGATTTAGTTTATCAAGTTACCAAAATTTGTACAAAATAATGTATGAAATTGCATTAACTGATAAGCTGATTAGCTTGTTAACATTGCAATTACCTTTGAGATATCAATTTTTTGGGCCCAAGACCTTCCGTCATTTCTTCTTTGTTTTTCATGCTTCTTAGGAACGACCTTTTTGAGTAACTTGGAGCATAGATTGTTCTTTTTTACAATAATATTTATGTTGGATACTCTTTTTTTAAAAAAAATGCTACCTTGTCAGTCTGATTTTTCTAACGCGCAAAAGTTTTAAGTATCTGCAAACACATTTGCTCTTGCCATTGTTCCCATATTCTCTCAGCATATTTAGAGACTGTTCTGTTTTTTGTTTTTTTTTTAATTTATTTTATATACGTTCCATTTTAAATTTTTCACTGATCATCCAATTTCTTTTTTGCATATTTTTCACTGGCAGTACTTCCTCAAGAAGAAAGTAAGTGATTCCATAATTCTTTCCTTTGAATTTTTTTTTTCTCAATGAATACCTATGGTATTCCTTGAGCTATTTAAATATGATCCCATTGTCATATATGTTTGAGCTAAACAAATTGACCTTGCATTGAAGTTATCTATCATAAATAATGTATTATGAAAAAAATAAGTTATACTCAATGCAAATTCAAATTTCCTCGACTTTTTCTTGAGCTATTAATAAGTAGTTTGCGTTTCTTTATGTTTTTTTTTTGCTTTAACAGTAAATTTTAAATATGAACTGCCTTTAAAATTATTACGATAAACATGATTGCATTTAGTTTTCTCTGGATGCCTGTTTTAATCGTATCTTAAAAATGGTATTGTACACCAGTTATAGTCCTTTGTTAGAAATGGTACTGTGCACCTGTTTCAAATGGGTCTTTATATTAAGCATTTCATTTTTGATTGTATGTATCCGATTTTTTGAAGTCAAGGCTTTCTAGACAGTTATGTTGATGCTATTATGAATTGCTAAAACATTGCTGCGGCTGTTGTTGATCTCCTGAGTCTACGGGCATCATAACAGGGCTACAGTGAATTTTTTTTATCTTCTTCCCCAGACCATTGCCTTGAAATGCAGAGAAATATAAGATGTACCATATGAAATGCACTGGATTTGATGTTTGGGTTTTTTTTCCCCTAACTTTGAAACCTTAAAAAAAGTAAATTTATTTTTATGGACTTGATTGGTTTGTTTGTATAGTGGAAATTGTGAAAATCTGTAATATACTCTTTTGCAAAGTCGCTCATTTATTTATATAAATGAGTTGTACTGGTAATAACAAAAGTTATAGCTTGTTTTTATTGAACTTTTATTTTAAGGAAAGTTGAAATATAATTGATATTTTATGGCAGATTGTGCTAAATTTTTTTTTTCCCTAAAAATTTTATTTAATAGCTTCTCAAAGCAGCATTATCAACTTTATTTGACGTATTCATCTTTAATTAAGATCAAATTATCTTTCTTTGTTTCTGATGCATTTCATCTAAAATCTTATTATCTTTTCTTTTATTGCATTTCTTCTTCAAAATTTGTCAATCATTTATCTCTTGTTCTAGCTATTCTATAAATCTTATTTTTTCCTTTGATAATACCTAACGTTCTATATAAATTATTAAATGTTAGATTTAATTGAACACATGATTAATACCATAATCATTTATATAGAAGCCTAATTTCTTTGTTTTTTTGTTATCAATCAAATTAGTTTAAATTTTAGATTTAACACATGGTGGAATGTACTGATGATTACAATTAGAAACTAAATGTGATCCAATGGTTGGCTCAATAATATAAATTCAGTCTAGTTGGCTCAATGGTAATAAATACAATAGAACTAAATGGTGATTGCCTCAAATAGAAACTAAATGTGATCCAATGGTTGGCTCAATAATATAAATTCAGTCTAGTTGGCTCAATGGTAATAAATACAATAGAACTAAATGGTGATTGCCTCAAATGTAGCTATTTAATTTTCATATTTATTATCACTATTGTGTTACAATCAAGTTTGATTTTGAGAGATGTTTGTTAATATTTTATTTTTTATTATTATTTCTGTTATTTTTTTTGGGTGTGGTAGAGAGCTTTAGGAAATTATGTTTATGGCTCTTAATTTGGCGGGAGAAAGAGGTGGCATATTTTGCAACGCATGCTTGAAATAGTTTGGCATGAGTTGACAAAATGGAGTTTTAGGTCTTTACTGAGAACCAATGAGTTTACGCTTTATAACCAAGAGTCTAAGTGGATAACTTTTGAGCATATAAATTTGAGAGGTTTTACTAACGTTTTACTTCCGGGCATTTAATTATATTTTTTAATCATTCCATTGAAGCCATAATATTTAGGTTTTCATGCTAGTGGACTGTAAGCTGCTTAGAAACTGTTTTGATGGACACATATTATTTTGCAATTATTGTTCCTCTAGGTCCACTCTACAGGTGCTTATCTTGAAGGCTATCTTGTTCAATTAAGAGTGAAAGGGGAGTTTGAATTACGAAGGATTCAGAATACTTAGTTTGGAAGTTCTTTTCTTATTTCATGAAAATTTGTTTGATGTACTAGGTTGTTTTTCTAGAGTAAACTGCTTTTAGGCTTTAATGAACCTTATAACTGTTTTTATTATTATTAATTTTTTGCACAAGTAATTTATGGTCTCATGCACTTTAAAAGATTTTTGATGGACAAGTTTCATATGATTCTCCTTTTGTTCTTTTGCATTCTGTACTGCATTTATGCTGATTAACGTTGCTTTTGACTTTATTAGTCCCGTAAGTTATCCAAAATGGTTTGTCAGAGGGCGTCAACTCCTTGGGCTAATTTATCATATTTAAAGAGGGACCACGCAAGCCATTGTGAAAAAGGCCAAAGCTGCAATTTTTTTAGTTTTAATGGCAGGTTACTGAAACCATTAAATGCGGGCTTTTGTTAATTTTTATTAGAAGGTTAAGAACAGTAAAGTTCTGATGTATGGTGACCCATTTGGTTACAAGTTGTAACTTCTTGAATGCAGATGTAATTTATCTCTCATTTGTTGTTCTTTTTTTCCATAGAACATGCCTTTCTCTTTGCTGTAACTTCTATTTGTGATGTTTCTTTTCGAGAATCTTTCCATTTATTTCTTTTTGAGTCACATGTCTATATGACTAGGAAGTATTGAGCACAAACTTTAATTGCCTAACAGAAGGGTTTGCTCATCAGACAACTCTGAAGTTTAATATGTTTAACTATGACAATAACAAGGTTATGCTTCTTGAGTTATTGACAATGAAATTGCCACTATCCTTACTTCATCTTTATGGTTTTCTGGAAATCTGCTCAACCTTATCTTCACACAGAAATTTTGGATGCTAAAGTCAAAATGCTTGCAGGTACCCCCTTTTGGAAATTAATTCTTAAGCAGTTTGATGACTTGCTTGTTAGAATATTGATTGCAGCTGCCATCATATCATTTGTTTTGGCTTTGATTAATGGCGAAACAGGCCTATCAGCTTTTCTGGAACCTTCTGTAAGAGGAATTTATCTCATTAGCATTGATCTTACATTGAAACATTGATTAATTATTTGTTGCTGTAGTCTGATGTTCCGTTAAATAGAATTTTTACTATGAACTTGCATCAGTGCTGAAATGTTCCTAGGTTTTATGTGTAATACTCGATATTTTGAAATATATAATAAATAGGTATTTTGCAATTTTGGTTCCTCTCATCCATCTTTTTGGCTCAGGTTATATTCATGATTTTAGCAGCAAATGCTGCAGTAGGAGTTATAACAGAAACAAATGCTGAAAAAGCTCTTGAGGTAATACTTGTTTCAAGGCGCTCACTTTTTTTTCTTGCACATTTTAAGGCTAATTGGCATTTTCTTACATCCAAATCTGTACCATGAATCACGGATTCCTGTAATGAAACTCTAGTCGCATGAGACACGTGACCAGGATTTTTCAGGAGACCATGTTGGTTGAGGGGTTTTATTATCCTATAGTTATTTTCTCTAAACAGATTCCAACATGTTTCATGACACCTATTTGACAAGGTGGAGCTGTTATTGGGAAATATTATGTACCACCACTAAAATCAATCTTGAAAATTACACTCATTATCATTCTCCTAATATTGTTATTACTTTTCACATTTCTTAGTTTTGGGCCTGACCATATAAAATTTTAGCGTTAATTTTATATTTATAATATAACTAGTCTTTAGATACATATATATGTGTATACTTTTAGTCACAAGAGATAATTATAAGTACGTATATTCTTATAATGGTAACGATTTTTTCTTCTCTGTAGGAGTTGAGAGCCTATCAAGCTGATGTTGCAACTGTGCTGCGAAATGGTAACGATTGTCCATCACCTTCTTGTTGTTGCAGCTATGATGATAATATATGGCCCTTCAAAATTTGTCACACATTTACCACTTAACTATTTTTCTTATTGCTTATATTGGCTTTTTAACAAACACTGGCAACCTTCTTCTAGTAATAGAAGTGAAGTTGATTTTTTTTGGTATCATGTATTGGATATCATAATATATCTCTATTTTCCTCAGTTTGAGTAGTTTTATTAATTTTTTTCATCATAAGATGTAATGAATAGATTTTTAAGAAATATAAATCATGCAGAAATTTCTCTGTTATTAGCATGCCAATTTGATCGGTATGTTAAATGAGTGATACCAGAGATAGAGCGGGCGGTTGTGCAGGGTGAGAAGGGTGTTAGGGTGGTTGTGATTAGCTGTGGGTATGGAGGATGTATGGATGGTTGGCGGTGACTGAGGCGGTTGGCTGTAGGTGGGAGGATGTCCAGGTGAGGAAAGTGTTAGGGGGATGGCTGAAGGGGAAGATGATTGGCGTTGATGGTTAGGCAGGCTGTTGGAGGATGGCTGAGACGGTGTTCCAGTTGAAGCATGGTCGACGGCTGGAGAACAGGGAGGTGCGGTTGGATGAAAAGCAGCTGCAATAAGACAACAATTGTGGTTGTCAGGTGGCTGCAGTAGGGAGGGGAGGACAACGGCAACAGAAGAGCGGATGATGAGGGCGGTAGAATCGAAGATAATCACCACCCGATATGAGCCACAACTGGAGCACCACTCACCATTGGATACAACCATAGAAGGGAGGACCGGGGATGCTGACAACTGTCCCGACAAAAAACACGACAAAAACTAACCCTAAAATATCAGGAAAGCAAATATATAATAATGGTTTAATTATGAGTAGCACAATAGGACCTGCCGACTGCACAATCACAAAAATACCTTGATCGGTTCAGACCAAGCACAAAGCGGAATCCTTCTTCCATCGCAGAAACCCTCGCTCGAAAGACTTCCTATGTCAGTATCCCAGGGTTAGGGGAGCTTCAACCTCTTTCGTCAAAGTTTTTGCCTCATGTTGAGGGGGCAAAGCTGCTGTAACCTCCCGAGGTTGAAAAGTGTTCAACTGTATTGATATGAGCAGTTGTGTCCCACTGTTGGTTGCATTATCTACCAAAGCACCTAAAAAAATTTCCCCACTTTTGAGTAGCCATCCATATCGGTCCAAACATCTGGGGGTAAGCTGCCAAACTAAATTGGGACTTTGTGCCATATATACCTTGCAGGGACCTCCAAAGGTAGCTAAAAGGTTGGCTCATTCCTATCTATTAGAAGTAGGGTTGTGAACGAGCCGATTTTGAGCTGTTCCAAAGGCGGTTTGAAATCAAATCAAAATTATTTTAAATGGATTGAAATTAGCTCGTGGCTTGAGTCATTTTTAATTTTGATCCGATCTAGATCAAAATCAAACGATTTACGAGTCGACATGAACTATAAACAAGTCGGCTTGAATTTTAAACGAACTGACCCGAATGCCATTTCGGCTCGTGAGCTGGATCGATCTGGTCAAAAACCTGATTTAGCCAACTCGAAATCCCGCTCGAAAAACAGATTGAGCCGACTCAAAAACTTTGTTTGAACAAAATTATTTATTGATATGAAAAACAAAAAGTTAAAATAGACAAAAACATAAATAATTTTTTTTTTTATTGAATAAATTATCAAAATACAAATTTACAAATTACAATAAAACAAAATAAATTTTATTTGTACCTTTATAATCAGAACTCATAAATTATAAATTTCATATTAGAAATTTATAAATTATAATTGTCATTTATAAATATCATACATAAGAAATTACACATAAAAACAAAATAAAATGATTCTTGAATCTTGATGACCCAGTAAAGCCAACATTTAGCAGCACGGCGGATCCCATTGCAATTCCTAGAAGTTCTTTAATCTGCATCAAGAAATTTATTGTCAATATAAATTGTTTTAATTTTGACATTTTATAAAATATATAGGCTTTGGTTCAAATTAGCTCAAAATTCACTATTTTAGAATGTCTAACTAAATAAAAGCCAAGAATGAAAACTTTGATTTCAATTCAAAGCCAACTTTTACTGAAGTGAACTTGATATCACCACATTGAAGGTTAAATCCCCAAAGCTCTAATTCGGAAAGTAAAGAATGAACAAAGCTGTACTATTGATCCTTCTCTATTAGAACCAACTGTTTGTCTAAGTCTGAAATAACAAATTAACATTTCGGATTTAATTTTTAAATTTTAAAAAATAAGACGAGTAGGCAAAGAGAACCCAACATGCCTTTTATGGTCCCAACTTAATCTCCACGTTTGCATATTTTATGCCTTTTACAATTGCTGCGCTGAAGAAGGCATTATTAGTTGTGTGCTTTTGGACAAAACTAATTTGAGCTACATAAGGAAGGTGCAATGTTTCCAGTTTTTCACATGCTTGCTGTAAACTTAAATTGCGTTGTAATTTTCCTCTTTTGCATTGGACTTTACAATAAAAATCTCAATCGGCCTTGAAGCTTGGAAGAAATCTCATTGTAAAACAAGAAACATCTGTCGAATTCACATGAATCACATCTACTGTAGGTAATATACAAAAATACATTTTGGTGATTTGAATATGGAAGAGAGTGAAATTAGAGAGAAAGGTATGTTAGGGGAAGAAAACCCAACATATATATGATTGATTTATATTGGATGAAGTGGAAATTCTCATTCCAATGTTATTATAATTAAAATGGCATAAAGTACTCCATTTTTGTATCTCCAGACACACATTGCATTCCCAGTTCAGACAACATCAGACCCACTCAATAATAAATCCACATGCCAAAGTATGAACTAAAATGTTTTTCATGGCTCGCTCACGAGAAATTATTGTATACGGACACCGTATCTGAATCGTCCATCAAAAATTTTTAAAAAAAAAAAACTAAAAATGGGGCAAAAAAAAAAAATAAAAAATAAAAATGAGACCCACCGAAATACATGTTTGGGTGATGAGCGGTGGAGATCGGACACCGTATGCATTTCTGCATACGGTGTCCGTATGGAATAATTTTTCCTCACTCGCACACCAAATAATAATCCCACATGATCCATCTGTTTGTCATGACCCATTCATTCTATTTACTATTTCAGTCCCATATCTCACCTCGTTGGCGTAATAAAACCCACCATGATTCATTTTCAGTTCATCATATTTATATGAGCAGCAGCCCTTTGTTTCAAAACAAAAGTAGTTCATTCTTCGTGCACATAACATGGCTGTCAGTATATCATTACAGTGGTATGTTTTTAAATGCTAAAATGCCCTTAAAAGAAGACGAGGAACAATCCAAATATAATTAGCTACAAATATGCACATGTACAAAACACATACCTTTGAATCAACTGAGCCCCATACACCAAGCTTTCAAACTAGAAGCCCTAACCCACAGTGATTCATTCAGTTCATCATATTTATATGAGCAGCAGCCCTTTGTTTCAAAACAAAAGAAGCTCATTCTTCGTGCACATAACATGGCTGACAGTATATCATTACAGTGGTATGTTTGTAAATGCTAAAATGCCCTTAAAAGAAGACGAGAAACAATCCAAATATAATTAGCTACAAATATGCACATGTACAAAACACATACCTTTGAATCAATTGAGCCCCATACACCAAGATTTCAAACTAGAAGCCATAACCCACAGTGATTCATTCAGTTCATCATATTTATATGAGCAGCAGCCCTTTGTTTCAAAACAAAAGTAGTTCATTCTTCGTGCACATAACATGGCTGACAGTATATCATTACAGTGGTTTGTTTGTAAATGCTAAAATGCCCTTAAAAGAAGACGAGGAACAATCCAAATATAATTAGCTACAAATATGCACATGTACAAAACACATACCTTTGAATCAATTGAGCCCCATACACCAAGCTTTCAAACTAAAGCCGTAAAACATCTAAACTTAGGAGCATAGCAAGATTTTAATGGGTGAAACGAAAAATTTTGATCTCTTGGACCAATTGTTTTACTTTGCCGTGCCAAATGAGTAATACGACATGCATGCAACCATTGCTCCAAATAATCGTCTCTACAAAAAAATGAAATCTTTAATCACATGAGTCAAATTATAAATGAACTTGAGAAGATAAAAGAAATCACATATCATTGCTCTTATGGATGCTAGCCTTCAGAGTTATGCAAACTCCAGATATTACCAAATTAATATTTGAATAAATCAATATTTTGTCTAATAAATGCATAATATCTTCCCATTAAGCATTACATATAGAACCATGTGAATAAATAGAAATTGAGTGATATATATGTATGCACAACAAAATACTAGATTTGAAGAAGTAAAATATGTCTTTCCATTAAGCATTTCTATGCCAAATTGCCAAGCAATAATAGAAAATTGCAAAGTAACTACAAGTGCAAAACCATGCCAAGCAACAATAAAATGTTGCAATGCAATTGCAAAAATTGTGCCTTGAAGAAACATCTGGTAAGTGGAAAAAATTATGCCTAAAATAAAATTCAAAGCACTTAATTAAATATCTCTTAAGCACAAACCTCTCTTTCAAAATTTAAATCATAAATTCTTTTTAAAATTGGAAAAAGTGAAGTCTCCGTATTCTTACTCCATGTTTTGAAGTAGATGAGATGAGTTTGAAAATCCGGAGCTCAAAAAATTCCCAGGTTGACATAGTGAATTCCATCCAAAATTATCTGGTAAGTTGGTGTGGCATGCAACAGGTTTAAAACATATATTACAATGCTAATTTATCAGTGACGCGGGAGCTTACCGATCGCCATACTATAACTGCTATAGTACCGCGACCGTGTTACCATAGCCGCTAAAGTACCGCGGTCGCGTTACTGTAGCTGCTTCTTTTCTTTTTAGCTTTCTCCTCTCTCCTTTTCACTCCATTCCATAACTGGTATCCTCCCTATTCATTGCCTACCTTATTTACACCTTCCA